TTCTATCCTGCTATTTAGCCCCTATACTGTATTTTTTAGTTCAATCACCGCATTCTATAGCTTTTTGGTTTCTGTTTGGACTCCTTTCAAACATTCTGTTATCATTACTTCCACCTTGTTGAAGTTTTATTCTGACCTTATATCAGTGAGCATCATTAGAACTGCTTGATGGACTGAATTCTCTTTGAATTTTAACTTGGGTATTTCTATATTTAACCTGACATTTCTATAGTAGAGAAATTCTGAATCTTAAATCCTGGAAAGGGTTGGAGTTCAGGCTCCCTGCATTTCTCTACTGATCTGATGGTGGAAGTAGCTTCCTTCTGACTGGGTGATGATCATCTTCGCCTGCACCATCTGAAGAGAGGGAGGTGATCCTCATTATTGGCACGTGTGGGCTGAATGGTGATTAATTACAAAATCCAAAGGCACAAGTTGACAGTTTGCCAATGGCTACTGTCTCGTGATATTTTAGTATGGTTTTGGCAGCTCTGTCTCTCCTACAAAGACATGTTTCTTTTGGTAAACTGACTTCTAAGACATTAATACTTATCCTCTTCCAGGAATTCCTTCCAGAGAGCAAGTCAAGGACTACAAGTCCTTGGCTCTGTAGTATGTTGCAATTGTGAGCTCAGCAGTTGCTCTCTCTCTGCATTGGTATCTAGAACTACCCTGAAGGACCATGAAGATCAGTAATGCTTATTTTAAACACTGAGGACTTATTTCAATGTTTCTATGCAAAGCATGTGCCAATCCCTTTATCCTATTTTAAAGACTGAGGGGCAATATCTGATACTTATTTCAATGTTATCAGAGCGATAGCATAGCGGGTAGGGCGTTTGCCTTACAAGCGGCCATCTGAGCCGACCCGAGTTCGATTCCTCTGCCCCTCTCGGAGAGCCCGGCAAGCTACCGAGAGTATTCGATATGCCAGACACAGTAACAACAAGGTCTCCAATGGAGATGTTACTGGGCCCGCTCGAGCAAATCGACGATCAACGGGAGGGCCTTTACCTTTTATTTCAATGTTAGGCATAATGGAAATAATTAAATTCTTTTCATCTCCTTCCCTTTCCTAGTTGAGTTTATTTAACTGAATTTTCCAATTTCCTTTTAAAATCTTTTCCTGCCTGTTTAGATCTATCTTGTGTGATGCCAACATTCTCTGTGTCACTGGCTTTTCCTCTGTTCATTTTAACTATTATTATACTCCCCACACTCTGTGATGTCCAAATTTCTTATTTTACTAACACCTGGAATGATACTTTCCTGATAGAGGAAAATATGAGTCCAACCTTGCTTTGACACACTTTCTATAAAAGTACATTCTGGACTTGGTGAATCCTTGACCCAGTATTCTTTTGAGAAGGGAATTATTTGTTATTCTTTATTTCTATAGTGTGCTTCTGAGAAGCACTTGGGGAACTGGGAGCCATTTCTGGGGAGACTTGTTCAATGGGGCCCTCTGCATTGTTGGGACTAGTGATGGCATGCTGCACTGGGGCTGTACTATGCAAAGCATGTGCCAAACCCTTTGAACTATCTACCCAGTCCCTTGGGAGAAATTTCAAGAAGCAGAGTTTGAATGTAAAATTAAACTTTCTGGATAACTAATTTATGAAATATGCCTGTCAACTTTTCTAATTTGAATATGCATTTATGTACCTTTTAGGTTAGAAGAGAGATTGCTTATAGAGATATTAGAACCCTAAGCTATCTCTGGTGTCACCAGAATTTCTAAGAATAATATTAAAGGTCTGAATGTAGATAGAGAAAGGGCAATCTATAAACATACACCTACTGCCATCAGCTTCAAGCATGGTAGAATTCAGTTAAAGAAGGGAAAAATAATTCAGATTTCCACAGGACCTATTAGCAGCCGTTTTGGTCAGGTACAATTTAGAGAAGATCTCTTTTAAGCAGTAGTCAGTGATAAATATACGATAAATTAAAAAGTTACAAATAAAGGTCATGGTTTAGTAAAGAACTGAAGGCATGGGACAAAGCATTTCATAATTCAAATTTCTACATTAGTTTGCCAAATTTGTATTTTTATTTTGGGGAAATATATCACCAGCATTAAGCAGGCATGAATGAAGTTAATTAATTCCAATAAGAAGTAAACATGTCCTATATAGAAGACAGAATGGGGAAAGGGAATAGAAGAGAAAAGAAAGAGCTTAGGTATTCATTTACACTATTCACTAATACTTCTGTTTCTTCTCCTACTGGACCCATGAAGGATTACAGTTCTCGACTTTCTAGAAATTGGGAAAGTATTTGCCCTGAAAAACATGAGGCAGAAACATATCATTTCTCAGCAGCTAACTATAAGGGATAACGTGATTCCTCTGGGATTTCTCTTAGCTGTGGCAAACAGTACTCCCAGAACAGGGAGACATTCTCTAGCAGAGAATAAATCAGCACAGTCTATACAAAGTCAACAAAGACATTTTTTTGCCAGCAAGAAATAAATCTTCGAAACTTTAAGTGACAGACAATGGTGCCAAGGGTCTCAATGGTCAAAACACATCCCTTGCATGCATGAGACCAGGGCAGAGTCCCTGGCAGACCAGAATGTGTTTGGTTAAAGCTGGACCCCTGGAGCCAATTAATTTGAGGGCAGGGCCAAGCTAAGATAACTGAGAGTTCTTCACTCTCAGTTTTTATAAAAACACTTTCTATGTTTTTCTCAATGACACCTACACAAAGTGAATTCAGCTTTTGTTGCTGTTGTTACTATTGTTTTGGAGGTAGAGTGAAGTCCTAAGCAGTGCCCAAGGGGTCTGGGTGCTACAAGCAGTGACACTCAGCATTTTGACTGGAACCATCAAAGTTTGAGTGCTGCCAGGAGGCTCTGGTCTATGAGGTTCTGTTCTGGCCACCAGAGCTACCCCGGAGGTGTTGTATGAGCTCATGTGGTGCCAGGGATCAAACTTTGGTCCTCGAGTGCCACAGATGACTTGCATGCACCCGTGAACCCAGGTCCAGAAAACCATGTTGATGTCTTTGATGAATGAGATCTCACAGTCTAATACTAAGATTCTCAAATAGATACATTTTAAAGGTTAATATTTTCTTTGAGGCTTTGCCTCAAAGACTATTTCTAGGCTTTCTCTAGAGTATTATTTACAGAGTATTTTTTCACTTTAAGAAACTAAAGATATATAACACAATAGATTCTCAAAAGAAATAAAAACCCTCTTTGGTCCTTTAAAGGCATAGTAAAGCTCTGGATTTATAAATAAATCCCTTATTCTTGTTCTTCTTTTATAGCCCCTCATACCTACAATTTGTGGTTGGTATAATAAATAATACTTCTGAATAAGAAGGGATCAAAAAGAATAAGACTAATGCTTAGCTCTTATTGCAAAGGGAATTTTTTTTTCCTTGGGACATCTTTATTTTTTAATGCTCAGAGGCGCCACGGATGGAACTTAGACCTCAGTTTAGGGAATATTTTATGAAACAAAGTATATATGAAACCTCTACCTTAAAGAGAAAAGATGACCTTAATAAAGGATATATACATTTCCAAATTCAGATTTGGAGAGATTATGACAGAGGTATAAATCAATATTAAAGTCTTCTTTACCACTCACTTATTCAGTTATTTAAACTAAAATAACCAGAACAATAAATACACATGCTTTCAGTACAATAGAGGACTTTTGCTAAATTTTTCTATATTTGCTTTCTACTACATTGCACTCTATAAATGTCTAAATTTAAGAACTTAAAAATTGTTTTTAGATATTCCGAATGTCACCCCCTTAAACACAATTCCTTGTACTTACATTGAAAACTAGATCTTGATTTGGAGATACCCAGGGATCCTGTAGACTCTAAGGGTACTAGGGGAAAAAAACCAACCCTTAATAACCCTCTTTCCTTGTTACTAAAAAAGACTCAGGCAAGGCATTTCATAGACCCGCAGGGAGCAGCTAGCTGCCTGTTAGCTCAAATAACTAGGTTCCTCTGGCTTTCATCTTCTTTGCTAACATTTTACAAATATGTTTGTTGTAATAAAATTGATCGCCAGCATACTTGGCAATTCTAATTGCATTACATGTTTCTTCTTTTTTAAATTCCATTAGCCAAGATGAGCACGATGCAATCTGTGTTGAATGCAATGCAATCTGCAGAAGCCCTTCAGTGGGAGCTCAGAGCTGGAGCTGAAGGAGACTTTACTACGGTCAAGGTCCCTTATTTTGTGGATCTAATTAGCACTGTGAGCAGCATTCTAGCTTCGAAAGCACAGCTCATGCCCTGCCCTGACTTCTAAAATTTGAAGCACTTTTAAATACTCTTATATTTGCAAAATGTGTTGATCTGCAGACAAAATAAGAGATCCGTTTTCCCTCAGGTCATTCAATTAGCCCATCATTCTTTTCACTGATACTTACTATGTGTGTCCTAGGAAGAAAAATTAAAGGACTAGTTCTGGAACCTATGATAATTTGCCAACAAGCAGAATTGATTTCAGACAGCCACATCTCTTAAAATCCTTTAAAATTCTTTACTAACTCCTTCAGAAGCAAAATTCAAGCGCCTTAGAATGTTCAACTAATTGTTATGATAATACTGGTGGGTGGGGAAGAAGCATATTGGAGATCGGGAGGGGAACAGAGGGTAAAGCCAACAATCTTATGCTTAGGGTTTGGGAAACTGAAGTCTTGATCACTTATACGAGAAAAAAAAAACCAACTCTGACCCTACTTTGATCCCAGTCACACCTACTCCTGTGCCTTGTAGGAGGTCAGATAATTGTGACTTGGAAAAACATCTGGCTCCTAGGTGTGATTTTTTAAGTTGTGGAGTTGAAGGAGATGGAAGTAAAGAATAGAGGAAGACCTAACGGCTAGGAAGTAAGTGTATTTCTTTCTTTTCTTTTCATTAGCTAGTACTCAGTCAGAAAAGAAACAGGTTGTTCTCGGGGTTGCTGGTGCAGTCTTAGCTGGAATGCATGCTAATTGGTATGTTTCTTTCTTTCTGCCCAGGACAGCTTTCCTGCCCGCTTTGGAGGAGTCCATTTTGTCAACCAGCCTTGGTACATTCATGCCCTGTACACGCTCATCAAGCCATTCCTTAAAGACAAAACCAGGAAGCGGGTAATGAGAACTAACACCCAAGGGGGGAGATAGGGAGGGGCAATTATAAGTCCTTCTCTCCATCTCTCTTCTTCTTGCCTTATTTTTCACTGAAATTTTTCTATTTTTTTCTGCAGTCCCTAAGCATGTGAGCCACAGCTGGAGTTTGTAAATAGCCTGGATCTAATCAATAATTTAGTGAATGGGGTTAGTTTTTGAGTTTCAATGACAAACCAAAGGAAACCTTGAAGACTTGCAAATGCCAGATGCTCACTTTACCTTGTATGAGGTAGGGGGTTGGGCAGCTTCTTATATGCAGGATAGTTTTAAAGCTACTATTTTTTCCCTGCCAATGTAGTAGGGTGATGAAGAAGGTTTATAATATGTTCCCCCATGACTCTTGGGTAGCAGCTTCATCACTTCTGAGGTTCAGAAAGCACTCTTCAAATGAGGATGTTCTTTGAAGGAAGACTTAAAAAATCTGCATTGCATTTGCAATGATATTTGGAAAGCCCAATATCTATCCACCAGATCTATGCTTTGTTATGGCGTTTGGATTAGCTGGGATACTGACCATTCTTTAGCCTCTCTGAATCTGCTTCTTAATTAATAATATGGAGAGACTAACACCCACAGAATGGTGATGTTGGGGTCATTTCATGACAGCACAAGAAAGCAGCATGCTAACAACCCTGTAGTCAAGGCTCAGTGACTTTTATTTCTCTCTGCTATTTAGTTCCTTTTCTCTTAAATCTTTCAGTTTTAGCTACTTTGTAGGTCAGAAGCATCACCTCTTAGCGTGCAAGGATCATCTTAGAACATTTTGAATATACTTCAATGCTCAGGGGACCTCAAGCTGGAAAAAATTCTCAAAATAGTCAAGGGCAATAATGATGTGAGGAATCCCTATATATATTCCTCCGTGTCCCTAACTATCAAAACTGCCTTGGTAATTATGAGGCACTACATAGTTTTATGGAAGGGATAATGTCTCTGTCTTCAGAAAGTGTGAACTAGGAGCTGGTTCTTCCAAGCTTCAGCAGGCAGGCTCATTCTGAGACATGTTGCAGTCAACCAAAGCTTAGGACAATGTTAAGGACAGAAAAATGACGTAGACTAGAGGATGCTGTAGCTTCCCACTCAGACTTCATCCACTCAGAATGGAGTTCATGGGCATTCTTTACACGAAGCAATCAGCATTTGCTTCATGGGAAGGAAATTCTGGAACTCTGGATGCAAAACAGAAACTATAGCCTCCTTCCTACCCTACCCACAGGACTCCAGGATAGAGGGTCAGTGTTTCCGTTCTTCAGCAACTAGAGGTATTGGAAATCTTGACTCTAAATACCAGGGCAGGTATTTAGCTTGAGCTATTTTATGTTTCAAATGCTACCATTCATTTCTGCAAAAGCTAGAATATATGAATTTGTTTAAAAGAAACAATTCTTATTAAAATTCTGTCACATCCAATCTGGTATCAAAAAATGTTTATAGCTTTTTGAAGTGCTACAGTTTACTTCTGAAAATGTTAGATTCTTGTTCCCTTTATTTTTAAATGATGCCCTTATTTCATAAGTAAAATTAGCAGAACACAAGATAAAATGAGTTAATCTCATAATTATGTAGTATAATCTAGTCTATAGTCTATAACAATACTTTCAAACACCAGTCCACAGGTGTAAAAAGTGAAATAATTGGTCTATATCATATGGTAACATGGATGGAGCATGTTATTTATTATACTTCTACTATATTTTTATTAGTAATATATTATTGTTATTATCCTGGTAACAGTAATGCTGTGTGTGTACACATGTATGTATAATCAATTTTCCTATTCTTGGTGTATCCAGCTACAGCATCTGGGTATAATTTATGTGTATTGTACCTGAAACATATGGGGAGTATGGGAATAATAATTTATACAATACACTTTAAATAAACTTTCTGGTGTTAATTCATTCATTAGTCAGGAGGACAATGATAATTATATACTTGTGACTTATACAGTTCATGCATTTACCTGGGAATAATTGCAATTTGGGAGATAATTTCTGCCTTCTTTTAACCAATTTTCATCCTGATTAGTATATATTTGGAGGTACAATCTCATATAGGTATTAATCCTTGATCCATATATCAATAAAAATAAAAATCCATGAAAAATGTATTCCACAATAAATTGTCGAGCCTTGTTTTTCAATTCCATTAAGTACTAATAAAATTGAAACCTGGGAGATAGAAACATATGCAGAGAGTTAAGAAATTTCTTTCCCTAAGTATTGTATCCCTGCAGGGAAGTAAGACATAAGTGAATACATGAGTGAAAACAGACATAAGCAGGTAATGAAGAGGCTGGCAGTAGGGACGGGACAAGGAGGGGGATGAGAGAGCTATAGAGGACAAGGGGAATTATAAAAGAGAGAATAGCAGCTGATGGTTCATGGGATGCATGAAGTGGGGCATGGTAGTCTGAGGGTCTATATCATACTCTTCTTCTCATCAGGGTTAATTAGGAGATAACTGTAAGTGTAAATTTGGTCCATATTAAAAAAAACACCCAATTTGTTTATTAAGGACTATTCAGTCCCCTTTGCCGAGCAGTTAATCAACATTGCATGTAAGTAAAACTATGCACACAAAATTAAATGCTTCTTTAAACACCATGATCACTAGCAGTGTATCCAATTTGTCATTACTGAATTGCGTATTCAACAAAATACTTGGTCTTATGTTTTGTATTTTTTTATTCCTACTTTTTTTCTTTCCAGATCTTCCTGCATGGAAACAATTTAAACAGTCTTCACCAATTAATACATCCTGAATTTTTGCCCTCTGAGTTTGGAGGAACTCTTCCTCCTTATGACATGGGGACTTGGGCCCGGACATTACTTGGTCCTGACTACAGTGATGAAAATGACTATACTCATACTTCCTATAATGCAATGCATGTGAAACACACATCCTCAAATTTGGAAAGAGAATGCTCACCAAAACCAATGAAAAGGTAAGACCTGGGTTAGCTGTCTCCCAGTCAGAGGTCAACAGCTATTTTTGATTTGGGTCATTTGTAGGTTAAGTAATCAAAGACCCTTATTGAGCACAGAACAATACAAATTGCAATATATCTTGAGCTGATTTTACTAAAATTGAAAGTAAGTGGGGCCTGGCTGGCCTGGAAATGTAGTTTTCCCCTTTGTATGAAAGAAGCAGTTAAAGGTTAAGACCTCACTCATGTCGTGATTCAGTCTTGGTCTCTAGGGTGCCTGTTAATACAGACAGAATGAAATGTGGACCTTTGAGACTTACTAGGTGGAAAAGTCACCTGCTAGAAAATGTTTCTAACATCTATGCATCTGTAACCATTTATTGAGCATTTACTTTGCTACAGGTACTGATTAGGTAATAGGAGTTCAAATGGGGAAAAGTTATCAAAAGAACAGATATGGGTCTGTGGAGAATCTGCCAAGTCAGACTTCTGGTAATATATTCTTAAAGTGGGTGACATTTGAGCTGATCTCTGGAGAATAAAAATCAACATCCCAGATTTTAAATAAGAGAAAAGTCATTCTAAGCAGAGGGAAGAGGCAAGCAGGTAGCCTTTAGAAACGGGATACTTTTATCAGATGAGGAGGGACACTTCCACAGTTTTCCCTGCATTATAGGCATATATATAACCCTAGTGAACATATCTAAGCATGTGTCAATTTCATTTTACAGGTGTGAATGTTAGGTTGCAGGAATAATGCATTGCACACTAGGGATATTAAACAGCAATTTGTTTTCTCATAGTTCTGGAGGCTAGAAGTCCGAGCTATTGGTAGAGAGGATATCTTGTGAGGCCTCTCTCCTTAGCTTGTGGATGGCTATTTTTTTCCTATATCTTCAATGGTATTCTCTCAGTGTCAGGCTGTTTGTGTCCTAATATCTTTTTCTTATGAGGACTCTCGTCATACTGTTTGGCCTACTCTATTGTCATCATTCTATCTTAATTATCTCTTTAAATATCTGATCTCCAAATATAGTTATTATTTGAAGAACTGGGGGTTTGAGTCTCAATACATGAATTCTGAGATCTTATCATCCATTTCCTACAATATTTTTCCATAGTACCTTTCTATATCAGTAAACATTGAGACACATGGCGTGTTTAATGTTGCATAGTATTTGAGCATATGGATATTGTCAGTTTACATTTCTTTATTCACAGACATTAAGTTTATTTTATTTTTTCTGTGTTCCTAACCAGGCTCAATGAATAGTATCCTTGAGCCTTTTTCATTCTCAAAGGGAATTGCTTCAGATAGTCTTACAGCCAGGTAGCTGCTGGGCCACAGAGTGTGTTAATGAAATTTTAATATCTACTTCCTAGGGGTCTCTAAAAATAACTTTGTTAATTGATACTCCCACTAGCAATGTGTGGAGGTCTCCTTTCCCATACCCTCAAAAAGTGCTGGGTATGATCAGATTTGAATCGGAATGCATCCTTGAACCTTTCCTTGGGGATTTCAGGCAGATTGAGGATAAGCAGTGGTGAGAATGGTACCAGCAGGAAAGAGGGATCACCCTGCAATTAGACTACAGGGGCCTCTCTGAAGGAGGTCTGTAGTGACTGAGAAAATTACAAGGACGGAACATCCAACATTCATCTCCTTTCACCCTGCAGGATCCATTAAGGTGTAGAAAACTTGTAAACAGAATTGAAGGAGAATTTCAGAACCATCTCTTTCAGCTTCCCACCTGGTATTGATAACCAGATCTTCCACACACTGTCTGTCAGACCCCAAGCATGTTCCTTGCTGCATGGCTCTAGGAAGAGCCTTTGAGTGCAGGAAGACAACCACAGTCTGTCCTCTGAAACAGGCTGGAACTTCCAGTAAGGAGGCTTGGTCCATTGAAGCTTCATTTGGAATTCAGTATGCTGTTCTTGGCTGTCCTCAGGATCCAGTCACTTTTTATATTGTGTTTCTGAATCCAAATGACCTCTTGGTTCCAAGTAGCTCAGAACAATGAGTTCTGGCACATCTGTAAAGTGAAATCCAAGATGCACAAAATTCCCAGTGAATGGGTGGGTCTAACAAGCACTTCCATCCCCCCAATATTTTTGGCTCAACCTTTAAGCAGAAAGTTATTTTCTAATTGCTAGGTGCTCACATGTACATTAATATTGGAACAACACAGAGATTAGCACAGCCCTAGGTCAAGAGTGACCCACAAATCCTTGAAACATTTTATAATTTTAAAGAAAAAAATTTTTGATAAAAAATCCTATACATAGGGGGCTGGAGTGATAGCACAGCGGGTAGGGCATTTTCCTTGCACGCAGTCAACATGACCAACACAGGTTCGATTCCCAGCACCCCATATGGTCCCGGGAGCACCGCCAGGAGCAATTCCTGAGTGCATGAGCCAGGAGTAACCCCTGAGCATTGCCGGGTGTGACCCGAAAAGCAAAAAAAAAAAAAAAATCCTATACAGAGATGGACTGGAGTGAACAGCGAGTAGGGCATTTGCCTTTCATGTGGCTGACCTGGCCGACCCAAGTTCGATTCCTCTGCCCCTCTTGGAGAGCCTGGCAAGCTACCGAGAGTATCTTGCCCTCATGGCAAAGCCTTGCAAGCTACCAGTGATGTATTTGATATGCCAAACACAGTAACTACTCTCACAATGGAGACGTTACTGGGCCCTGCTCGAGTAAATCCATGAGCAATGAGAGGACAGTGCAGTGCTGCAGTGTTACATAGATAACTTAATATTGATCCGTTCTTTTTTCTATTATGATAACTATAGTCATTCAAATTTGTCTCCTCTGCTTGCATGATAGAGCACCCCAAGTTTAATATTTTTAAATTCATATTTCTATTACTTGTTTAAAAAATTTTAATGTCTATTTCCTGGTACAGCGGTAGGGCGTTTGCCTTGCACGCAGCCAACATGGCTGACCCGAGTTCGATTCCTCCGCCCCTCTTGGAGAGCCCGGCAAGCTACCGAGAGTATCTCACTCGCAGGGCAGAGCCTGGCAAGCTAGCCGTGACATATTCGTTATGCCAAACACAGTAACAACAAGTCTCATGATGGAGACGTTACTGGGCCCGCTTGAGCAAATCGATGAACAACGGGAGGACAGTGACCGTGATTTCCTGACTTCCAAATCATTGGTTATCATGATTTTTTTTAGAGCTATGAAGTGCTAAAGCTCCCCATTTCCTTCTAACTTACTATTAGACGGTGTTTTATTTAAGCATAGAAAAGAGTCTAACTTAAATTTGTTCAACAGATAGTGATCAATAAGTTTTGTTATTATTATTATTTGGTTCTGTATAAGGTACAGCTTCAACTGAACTGCTTTAAACAATAAGAAAATTTATTATTTCACATGATACTCAAAGATGGGTTATTGAAGGAATGTTCCCCCAGTTTCTCAGTGGTGGCAACCAGAAACCAGATTCTCCCTGTATGCTGCATGTATAGAGGATGCCCAGTCAGGAATTCTCTCCCGAGTCATAGGATGAGAATAATGTTCCAACCAAAGGACAAAAGAACAGGACTTGGGAGCCACAGTCCTACCTGCAAGTCTGAGAATTCTGCTGCTTGGAGCTCATGTATAGTCTGTTAATCAGAGCAAGATTTTGTAGCATTGCTTGCAGTTATTTAGTCTTGTTTATTCATTATTTTCTGGCTCTAGGTCTTATCTAAAAAGATAGAATTAAAATATACTTGGATTTCTAACCCTTTTGGAGAGGTGATATTAAACTATGCATATGCCACCTATATGCACTTGTAGGTGATATAATAATATAAATTTGAGCTACGAGCTCAATTATATACATACTGCAATGTTCATAAGCAGGTTGGGCACTCCCAGACTCAACCAGCCATGGAAGATATTTTGTTTTGATCAGTGAAACCTTTGGATGCTGAGGTCCTATCTAAAAATTACTTGTGTTAAACCTGGCTAGGAAGTCACTGTTGCCCATAATACCTACATTGTTCAAGTGTCAACTGTAGATGTATGTATTGAAATATATACAGATATTTATACCTAATCACACATAATATAGAATTTTTGAAAGAGTGTTGGCAGCAAACCTCACTTAATTTTATGAAAAGACGATGATTCTGAATAGGGAACTGGATCATTTCCTGGAACTGGAGCTAAGTGCAGCTTGCTTGTCAGAAGTAGGGAGGTTTGCGAGATTGCTGCTTGGAGCCAGCACTCAAAACCCAAAGCATGGCCAGCACTCCTGCAGCCTATGAAAGGTTACATATTGCTCTCAGCTGCATTATTTCATTATTCCAAATTGGTTTCTCCTAATCTCAGGCAGCCCTGACAGCAGCTATTCACAATGGAGTTGATGATCTCAAAGAAATGAAAAACATCCTTTCTGGCATTTCTGGGAAAAATAAAAGGGAGAAAGGACTCTAAAATGCCAGGGTTGGTAATTTTATTTCCCCCCTCCATTTCTGTCTTGGCTTATCATGGCAGAGCAAAGGGTGCATCTGATTTTCGTGCTTGGGGCATCTAGGCATTTAGTGAAGGGGTAGCAGTATGCAATCCTGAACAAAATGGGAATTTTAGGAGGCGAGAGTAGATTCCTGAAGAATGGGTGTGGACAGCTTCAAACTGTGTTCTCTACATACCTGAGGGCTGGCCATCTATGGTAGGGCTGCCAGGGCTAAAAATTTATTTCCACTCTTTTGAATAGGTTCTTCTGGTTTATACCAGTATAACAGCTTCTATTTGGCACAATAAACATCCCCCACACCCCACAAAAATGAATATAAGATATTAAAATTGTATATAGAAAACACTTTATCAATCTCTTTGTTAGAGACCTAGAAAATTTGAGAGCTGAAAGAGATCGTTAGAGGGCATTGAAATACATCAGACTTTCTGCCACCAAGTAACATTTTTTGGTTTGTTTATAGCGTCATATATATTACCTTACATAATATATACATTATATGATATATAGGACTACATGATACCGTTATGTAATCAATGTT